TTGTAAGGCTACTTGTAAGGCTGGGATTAAAAAAATAATACGCGGAATTGCACAGCTAGTCTCCATTCTTGTTAAAGGGAACAAGACAACACAGCAGTATTTTGGGATGCTGTGTGTAACAGTAGGCCTCTTAATTATACCAATGGTAATTCCTCAGGCGAGGGCTTATGTTAACATAGTACACATAATTGCCACAAAGTATGACAATGACAAATTACAAAGCTCTAGCGGGCTTTCCATTACCACCCTAAGATTGTAAAGGTTGGATTCTCTGGGTCGCCTCTACTATTAACTTCACCATCTGTTCCTCAATTTCAGCTGAAATAATTTTATTTCTTTCCATAAATGAAAGCCTATCTCTGAAGCAGATCAGATTCTATACAGAGGAGAGAGGCAGTTCTGACCACTGTGCTGGGAATGTCTAAACTGGCCAGACAGCATAGAGCAAGAAAACGCTCCTCTTTGTAACAAAGACCACAGTCTTAGACAAGGGTGACAGTCAACTCTAAAAGGACCTAGCGCTCAGGTGGGGGCACGCTACTGCTGGAGACACCCTAAGAGAGATTCCCCCAGAGAAATAACTAGAAAGTGCCCAGCAGACACCGCAGAAATTTCATTTTGAAGTGAAGAAATTTAGGGCCCAGAACTAGCAGGTGGAAAGTGTATCCTCTCGGTGTCCTCTCCCGACTTCTTACTGTGAACGTCAGTGCTGAAAGCAGTTCCCAGGATTGGCCCGTCTTTGGAGGCCTTTTTCAGGAGGAGGTACTTGACCACTTGACCAAAAATACTTGTTTTACTATACGATGAACATTGCTGGGCAAAAGTATTTCCCCTCTCAACTTGTATCAGAAAAGTCAGATAAGCAAACAAATAAAAAAAACCCCCACACAAACACTATTAGACAAGGGCCCTCAATCTTCCACTGATTAATTTTTATTTTTCCTGGTCATTTACATGAGGCGTCTCTTGTCCTTCTGCAGCCAGGCTGGGGATCGGCTTGGTAAGCTTGAAGACTGACTGGTAGAATGACTTCTTGGAAACCTCTTAATATAAATCTATTTGTCCTGTAAGTGTAGAACCATTATGAATATCTATAATAGAAATATAGCAGAAATAGATTTTAAAACTGTAAAGAGAAAGCTGGAATTCATAACAGAACTGAAACTCTTCCATAATCCTACACCACCACTTTTAGGCCAACTCATTGTGAAAAAAAGTCACTAGACCCCACTGGTCAGTATTTCAAATCCAGGCAGAGCAACACGCCAGTTTATTTTGAAATGCAACATAGATCAGTATTTTATGAATACAACTCATTACTACATTAACAGTGTCAGGTAAAAACAGCTTCCAAATGCATGCATAGAAAGTTAAGCATAGTCTTTGAACTCCTTATTTCTAAATATACAAAAAATACATTTAAATTATATAATTTTAGTGAATCAAAGACTTATAAAATTACAGTTTTGGTTTTCACAACATAGAAAAAATATAAAAATGACTATATATACGGTTGTATAATTTTTTACCCAAATTTCAAAGGAGCAGTATGTACTGATTTTGTCTTATGTTTTATCTGAAACTCAGAGTTGAAAATAATTTGCAGGTTGTACCACATCAATGCCAACCTTTAATTATAAATGAATAACCAAAAACCCAAGTGGAAGTGAGGGCACAATCTCTTCACGTGCCTCTAAGCACTACATCATCTAAACTCTTCCTGTCGGAAGTTTGCTCCAGAGGAACGTTTCATCGGGGAGGATGTGCTTTGTTCCATGACTAACTCTTCACGGTGCCTTTGATAATAGTCAGTACGTGTTAAATGAATGATCCCAATCTTAGTAAACTGAACACAGCAAGATGCGGATTAGCAGCTCGTGTCTACAAAGCACTACTGCGTACCTCAAAGAATTCTCTGCCAGAAGGTGGTCCCCAAAGCTGGGATGTGAAACACCCAATCAGGTGGGGAGCTGGGCAGATGATGCCTTTGACTGTGCCCTGAAATGAAAACGGTAAGTCTGACAAAATACCCACCAGAACAACACCTTCCTCATTCACACTTTATAAGATGTGACACCTGGTGGGGTGAGATGTTCTCAGTTCATAAAAGACCACCACCACTTCCAAAGAGAAATGAATTCATGTCAGAGATAAATAAGCCAGTTACTGAGAGTTGTGACTGAAGGACACGGTGGCGTGCCTGACTTATCTGCAATGAGCATTTTAAATGTTGATGGACAAAAATACACACTGGGGTTGAGACCCTTGGTGAGAAGGGAGTTGTTTGCTGCATTCTTGTTGCCAAAGTTTGATTTGATGCAATACCACTATTTGTCACAGACTGTTTCTCACAAGTAGTGACAAATTATAATAGAGAGGCCTGAATAAAACCTCCAATCCAGCAATCCTGGAAAACCTACATTTCTCATCCTATCTTCTATAACTTATTCCAAAAACAAATGAAAAAACCTTACCCAAATTAAGTAATAAAGCTAATATAACCCAAACTGATTTTATTTTACAGTAGAAATATATTTTGGAAAAAGAAAAATAAAAAGCATTAAAAATAATCTTTCCCACATATTTTGTTTATCAAGTACACCAACAGATTCTAATCATAGTATGCCCAAGTTAAGAGTGCTGGCGGTAAAGAGCAGAATTTTAAATGTTCAATTGAAAAAAGAAATTATTACACGCCTGCTTGCATTACATTTTAGGCTGCACGTTTTCTCATTTTCGAGCTTCTATGAAAATAAGAATTTAAAAATCAGCTTTCCATTATGACACTCTTCAAATATTAGCAATTATATTTTAACTGATAACCAGACAATAAGCTAGTAAGCCAGACTTTCAAAGATCAACCAATTAAAAAAAAAAGCAAAAAAGGTTCCATAAAGAACATTCTGTGTTTAAAATCTAATGCATGTCTAAACTTGGGCTTTACATTTTCATGCCACCCTTTCCTGAAGAGTCTTAAATGCACAGTTTAGCAATTAAAGTATGAAGACATGACATTAATTAGACAATGTCCATATGACCAGAGTATTTCTTGGCTGCTCCTCCATGCGGGGACAATACTGCTTTTAGCTCACGACTGCCCAACTGGAACATTTCACTGCCTCTGGACTTAAAAGCTTGGGTGGGAACTACACGGGATCATAAATGAGGAAAAGTATCCAAACAGAAGAGTTAAATCAAAATGTAAAAATAAAATAATAAGGGTATATAAACCTATTCCTGAATGTTCTTCCAGACTCCATTTCTAAAGTAACACCTCCATGTGCTTTCAATAACAGATTCTCTACTCCTATGCGACTAGACTGGCTTCAGGTCCCTAAGTGAGAACAGCTCTTGGCAGACCACCTTACTCAGGGGTGTTCTGAGAACGGTACTGTGAAAGGTACTTGTCACTGACTAGCAACTGAGCTTTCCCTTTCTGAGAACTGTCATTTTGTAAAAGTATGATGAGGCTGAGCCGCATATAAGGTAGCTTCTCTACAATATACACATACTTATTTAATTCAAGCACATTTCGAAGTGGCAGGCAGTAATGACTCAATTAAAAAAAAACAAAAGGGTTCTAGTTGTTTTCTGATTACAGGCACTACCCTGAAGTTGCACAAACATATACATTGTATAATTCATTCACTAGATAGGAGGGGGTAGGTCCCAGCCATAACTTCAGAGCATTTCATAGGACAAATGGCTTCCAGCATGCAGTCAAGCACTTTGAGAGGGAATGCTAAACACACTGCAGACTGGAACAGAACTGCTGCGAGCCGGGCATTCAGTGGGTACAACTTCACTACTCAGACTGTAATAATCAAGAATTTAGTGTTACAGATCTTTATTTATCAGATACACAAAGGAAACGGGAGGATATAAAACCCCAAATCCCTTTCCAGCGTCACCATAAATATTGGGAACCTCTGGCTGAAAGAGCATGCTGACATGGGCCGGCCAGGATGTTTTATGTAACGGCTTTCATTTTTTGTTTCTGTTTTTTATAAAATCCCAGGCCCATGTGCACTGGATTTTGGTTTTTGTTTTGTATTATTTATTTTTTTTAGTATTTTAAAAATAGTTCTTACTTATTTTCTGTGAAACGCATTGGGAACTGAAAAAGTCTGCAGCATTTTTTGTCATTGGAAAGTTTGTTTCTGGGGGAGTGGAGGAAGCAGGAAACTATTCAAATTTCTTGTGTTCTTCAGTATGAGAAAGGATCTTTCTTCTCTGGTGTATCATGTGGTAGTATAACTGGGGAAAAACTGGAAAGAAAAGAAAGAAAAGGTTAAGGAGATGATTTAAAATCGTAAGTTCTGCGTAAGGCGCTTGGATTTGAGGGCTTCTCTGAGTCTCTGACTCCTTCCTCATCCAACAACTAAGGACAGCGACAAGGTGGGCCTGGGAAGAGAGGAAAAGCACAGATTTACTTTCCCTACTTTGGCCAAGGGGGAAGCGCAGTGTGGATTAGAATGACAGGCACTACTGACACTATCGGTACCAACCAAGAGGCCACAGGGCCAGCAGATAATACTCACACCCTCTCACATCGTCGTCTTCACATTTATTTTGATTTCACAACAACTAGGTGAAAAATTCTAGTGACGGAGTTATTATTCCCTTTCATAGAGGAGGAACTCAAGTCCCAGAGATGGTAGGCACTTGCCTGGGGTCTCACAGCAAATCACTGACAGTCAGGACCAGGTTCGTGGCTCCTGACTCTGTCTTGCCCTCTCTGTCACCCTCTTAGTCTTGGAATAGGGAGGCTTTCCAAAAAGTAATTCCCAAGAAAGGCTGTACTTTGGAAAGACTGAGGAGGGGAAGGATTATACGCCTAAACACCTCTAAGCCAGATCTGGATGTAAAAACGTGAGTAAAATGTAAGCCCTTAAGCTCTGGAGATTCTGTTCTTGGTCATTTCATATTACTTTTTTTTTAAGCTAAAATAATCCTTTAGTAGGCATTTCACAGCTTACTCAAGTTTTTTTTAAACAATTTTTTATTGTTATAATCATTTTACAATGTTGTGTCAAATTCCAGTGTAGAGCACAATTTTTCAGTTATACATGAACATACGTATATTCATTGTCACTTTTTTTTCGCTGTGAGCTACCACAAGATCCTGCATATATTTCCCTGTGCTACACGGTATAATCTTGTTTATCTATTCTGCATTTTAAAATCCCAG